TTTTTGGGATATCATCTAAATTTTGAAAAAAAAAGGGACCACATGATAGATTTAACAAAACAAGATAATATTTCACATGCAGAATAGTATGATCCAACAAGGATCTATTTAAATCTCATTAAATTTTGCGGGTACTCTTTATCTTGTTTGGACTTTGGCTTTTCATTGAAAATGTTGATTCTTTCTTTATCCATGTCTTTTAGTGTCTGTCCATTGTAATTTAGGTAGAATTTGTGTTTTTTGGGTTTCAACTTCTACTATTTTCAGCATAAAGTTTCTATCAATTTGATATTTCAAAATTGTCGTGATAAAGTAATGCACTAGCTTCATAGATTCCATGTCCATCTTATTGGTTTGGTTGGAAAATTGTGTCTGTGTCGATGTCAATGACTCTAATTTAGCCGATGTTTGACAATCATTATTTCAAAACTCTTTATTCTACATACTCATTTCCAATCAGACATTTACACAATAAAATATTTTATATGTAAATCCAATTTTTTTTTTCACTTTTTAACCATGCATTCACTATTCAAAACTTTATTTTTGCCAAATAATGGTCATCAAACAAGGGTTTATCGTTTCACTGTAATTTAATCTCCAACATTCGAAGATATATAAACTGGTTTTATATCTTTCATTCTATAGTTGTACAACCAGTCCTCAATGATGAAGTCACACACACAACCATCGAATAATGACACTTTTTATAGGGCCAACTATCAGCCATCGTCGTGCACACGGATTTTGACGAGGGTTAATATTATGTACCTTAAGTAACTGTGGGCACATGAAAAAACAGTGGCTTGATTGCTTGATTAACGGAATGCATTTGGAGAAATTAATGTGTAAAGATCAAATATGACAAAATTTTAACAGTGCGATTATCTATATCATGAAGAATTTGACTGTCCCCTTGTGATATTAATATGGTATATTCTTTTGGGAGATTCTGCATATGCCCTGTTTGGTACCTATTCTTTTAAAATATATTATTTCAAAACTCATTTTCAACCACATATTCTTTAATGCAATAATATTTTTCATTACATCAATAACATTTCCTTACTTTTTAATCATATATTTCCTATCATATTACTATTTAAAATACATTTTTTCCTCAATAATATCCATCAAACATGCCCGAGGATTTTAAATGTATAATATTTGTAGGAGTATTTTAATAAATTAGAATAATATTTATTTATAATATATCCACTGGAGGTTTGATAATTTGAGTATATTAATGTTCAGTTGTATAATCTAATTATTGTTAAGCCCTAAATATTGACTGAAAGTTTAATTAAGGACTATTTATGAATTTGTATTCTTGTAAAATTCTATGAGGGAATATGAGTCCTTGTAAAATTCGATTTTGGCTTAATTTATCTTATAAATAGGGAATAGTACTTAGGCTTTATGTATTATCATCAAATAGAGCGAAAAAGAGGTTAGACGAGATATGATTGATATTTTCTTTTGTAAACATTTTTTCATTATAGTGAATTACTGTAGCGGTGAGAGATGACGTAGTTTCATATCAAAGCAAACCTCTATAAATCTTGTATGTTCTTGATTCTTAATTTTCTTTCTTCAAATTGTTTGTTCTTGGAGGAATAAAATTAATGTTTATAATTCTCAACAATCCATAGAAAATATAAAATGTTTTGTGGTATATACTCTGACTACTACTTCTTAAATTAGGAATCCAA